GTTGAGTAAAGTTGCTTCTGGAATGCGTGATTTTGCTTAAGTTGCTGTGCAACTTGAAAACTTCAACAAAGAGTTTCTTAAGTGATCCTTGTTGTCAGAGTCATACAACACGCTCCTGGACACGAGCATGCAAGAATAAAACTGGAATCCAGCCACTGCTATGGTGGCGGCGCCTGTGAAAAGTCATTGGAAACAAGAGCCAATTTTGCATCTTGCTTGTCCGACGGCGGTCGAAAGGAAATGATTTGGCTTCAGCGCCTTCGTCTCTCTTGGCAAATGCAACCAAAGGCTTCTACCACCGCAGTAAAACCTAGTTTATTGAATAAATAGTGTATATTACGTCGTAATAAGGGGTTCTTTGTCTGCTGAACAGCTCAGTAGCTCGAGATTGCCTTGTAGAACTCCATCACTCTCGAATCCGCCAGCAGGCGACCTCCGTTTCTATCGCGTATGCGAGCTCGCAGTCGCAGTCCTTCCAATGATCGCACGCGGGACAACGCAACATAAGCTTGGCCGAACTCGAAAACTCGAGACAAATCTAGAACGGCGGAATCGAACGACAGTCCCTGACTCTTGTGGATGCTGATGGCCCAGGCAAGCGCCAGCGGAAGTTGTCGTCGCGATGCCAATACAGTGTCAGAGACACTCACAGAGAATTCCTCCTGTCCGATGGTCTCAGTCACGCCATTGGAGAAGCGAACAATAGGCAGGTTTGACTGCAGTGTGAATCCCTCGACAATCCCGCGTGAACCATTCACCAAACCACGCGCGGCGTTCAGCGTTTTAATCAACAGAACCCGTGCGTTTTCTAGAATGGAAGGCACGACGTATTAGTTAACAAGCTATCATTGTGTGTAGCGGAAAATGTGATTCGTACTCTTGAGTGAGAGTTTTGCTGGGGCAGGACATGTGGTAAGGAACTCGGTTTTGCCGCTATCGTGCCAAATAACAACAAAAAATTGTTAGTCGCGAAGGATAATTAAGTTCCTGGATTGCACGTACCGGTCGGCTGAAAGGTAGTTGAATTTCTTTCCTCCCAACTCGTCAAGAGCCCGTGTGTTGGTCTGTCAAAGCGCGCATTACAAGGTAAGGACCCAAATATACCAGCAGTAGACAGTAACTCTACGTACCCGTAATACATCATCGTTGTGTGAGAAGATGTGGATGGCGTCGTCACTGTCGGTATCAGCAGTCGGCTTGTAGCGTTCATTCAGCTTATCAACCATTGCAGCGGCGGGCCGTCCAACACGGAAGGCATTCAGGATTCGCACGAATTCGTCGTCCCGTTGGCGGAAGATCTCCTTCAGGACAACTGTCTCGGTAATGCCTCTGACCCATGCACTGCTCTCGAAGCAAAGCAATGGAGGCATCGATTCAGCGCCTTGGTCACGCATCCGTCTGCCAACTGGCGGTAACTGGAAGAAATCGCCTGACAGAATGAGTTGGATACCACCGAAGAACGCTGAACAGCGACGTATCTGCCTTGCCACAGCCTCTAGGTCGTCAAATAGACGCCCATCCAGCATCGAAATCTCGTCAATCACAAGAATTCGAGCGGTTTTCCATCGCACAACAGCATCGTTCTTGCGACTGATCTGTCTTAGCAGTTCTTGCCTCGACGTGTGGGCGCTAGGGTCGATACCCGCAAAGTGATGGAGCGTCATTCCACCGATATTATACGCAGCGATACCGGTCGTTGCAGTTGCAAACACTCGATCCATTGCATGGCCGCAGCCGTGCTTGAGTAAATGCTGCAACAGGAAGGACTTGCCTGTGCCTGCACTACCCGTGAAGAACACATTTTTGCCTTGGGCGATGAGTTCCAGCACGCGTTTCTGCTCCACTGTCAAAATTGTGTTTCTGTGCTCTGATTGCAGTGGTGAAGTGGCATGGTGTGAGATCTTGCGTCGCTGGGAGCCTCGTTCGGAAGGTCCAGGAGACTGCGAGCTGTTGTTCAAGTCTGTAAAAGCACTCCGAGATCGCTTGACGCCTGCTCGACGGTCAGGTACAGTAGTCGAAGGTGTCGCTGGCAGAGGTCTACTAGACAATGGTACTGCAACGACAATCTTCGATCTAGAAATGCCCCCTGTCCGAATGCAAAAATTCCGAAGTGCCACCATTTCCTCCGGATCGCCTTCCCGAAAGTTGTACTGGGTTATCCGGGTACGCTCGCGCCTGCAGCGTAGCGTCGTAACTATCAATGCTTTCGTGACAGCGGTTCTATTGCAGTATCTCCGCACGAACCTGATGAGTGCCATCTTGCCCGTGGCTGCGTAGCTCGAGTAGACCTCGTACTTGTGAGCTTGAATCTTGATGGCCTTGTGCAGCGGTGGGTCGTCACTCATCACCTCCAGTCCGCCGCGTCGTCGAATAAGCTAACAAGAATAGGCAGTGGTTAGCGTTATGAGGATACCTGCAGTCTTTCTAGTAGTGCACTACTGCAGCTACATGTACGCGCACCATGGCTCTCGGATACAACATAGAAGAAATATTGCGGCCGGTGCATCCATCCGCCATTTGCAGCTCCACTGTGCAGTGCACTGTCATTGCCGGCAGAAACGCGGTGCAGTGATAGAGTGCTGGCCAGCAGAGCGTCGAGATGGCTGCTTCGAGGTGAGCTTGACGTTGACACTTTCAAACTTTTGAATTTCTAATCGAATTTTTAAAGTTGAAAGTTATGTTAACAATTATTGAAGGAAAGATCCTGTTACAAAATTTGACAGGTTTTAGATTGAAATTAACGTATTTTGCCAGTTTAGTGCGCAATTTTGGGTTCGTTCAAAATAGTCCCAATGCAAAAATGACAGACGCGCAGAACATGATTTGACTGTAGAGGCCCATAGAGGAAGTCATTGACGACTCAAAGGCTTATTTTTGCACTAAGAGCAGACGCTTTTGAGCAATGTGATTGATTGTCAAAAGTGAGGTTTAGAATAGAGGTGACTAGTTTTGTGCATGGTTTGACTACCGTCTACATCTCGCCTTGAAGCAGCATCTCCTTCGTGGTAAGACGGCCTTAGAAGTCCACAGTAACGCATGGTCTCTTTCCTTGGCGCAGGGCGCTGGAGGCAGCAGCAAAATACTATTTCTGACCTCTTCTTGAATTGCACGTTTCCTCTTGAGCCAGGTAGCCTTGCCAACATCTCCGCCACTCGCAAAAAGCTGTAGACGCCGTTGCATGTTCACCAACGATGGTGGATACAGCCCGGTAGTACGGAAGCCATTCACAGCGTTGTCGGAACTCTTCATTAGGCCACTCCGGTACGCTTTACACGTAATGTGATTTGCATCGGATTTGGAAGCCGTACAACCCAAGCTGTCAAGTAACTTGGCATGCAAAGCCGTCTTCACCATGGTTTTAAATGGCTTAAAGATAGTCACATTAAGAGACTGGTGCAGATGTGTCGCATTTGGCGGGAGACCGACTAGCAGAATCTGTGGTGAAGTGACAGTAGACTTCTGGGAACAAGGGACTGATTGATGGGAAGTGACCCGATCCAGCTCTGAGACTCGTGGTCGACGACGGTGCTCCAGTGATTACGTCATCATC